TGAAAAAAAATGAACTTGACTTATGTGAGTAACTGAGTTTGACACCCTTGGGTTCATCAATTCTGTCAATATTTGAGCACCAACAGATAAGGTATGGTATGTGTGATATGGTATGTGTCACACCTGGGCTCTTTGCATCTCAATGTTGGCCCCCAAAGGGCAGCTAGGTGGTGCCATAGTGCATAGAGCACTGGTCTTGAAGTCAGGAAGACTTATCTTCCTAAGTTCAAATCTGGTCTCAGGCACTTACTGGCTGGAGTACCCTGGGCAAATCACTTCACTTGGTTTGCCTCATCTGTAAAATGAGCTGGATAAGGAAATAGCAAACACTTCAGTATCTTTTCCAAGAAAACCCCAAATGGGGTCATGAAGAGTAGAATACGACAGAAACAATTGAACAGCAGTTGGCCTCCAAGCGTCCTGGGCTGGGGGCATATTGGGTGGGATGTCCTGCTACAGCCACCTTGCATTAAGGCAAAGAAATAGCCCTCGCTTACTAAAAAGGATTCATTCATCTTCAGTACTTGCATATTTCATTTCTCTGTTTTGAGTGAAGAGGCTATCTTTAAAATGATGTCTGTACAGGAGTCTCACACCGTGGAGTTTGCCACTCTGCTTTTCAAGTCATTGCCCTCAGAAATCAGTTCCTAGAGACTCTGAAATGGAGAACAACCATTTAACTAGAGTTTGCTTGGTAACTCCAACATGTTCCTTTGCCCTAATTATATGAAAAACACCCCGACTAGAATTAGGCCCTTTCACTCTGCAGGCTTCATGTCAATATTGGTAAAAATTCACCAGCAAGGGGCAGGCCCGCTTCCCAATTAAGCTTTACATTTTAACGGCTGTCAGTCTTGCTCCAAACTCTTGGCTGGCCCCCTGCTGAAATCTAGTGATACTCAGACTTTTGTATGCTGGCCTGTGCTCTCTTGAATCCGAGGAGACATCATCAACCTGCCATACTGGTGGGGAAGAGGTGTGGGCAACCACTAGGGGTCAGCGAAGAGTCAGAGTCCTCTGGAGGTCAGCTGTTGGAGGGATTCAAAGCCAACTGTCAGGATGGGAAGGTGGGGAGAGGAGAGGCAGGCTGAGAAACACACAGGAGTGTTCAGAAGGTCCCAAATCAAGGTCACGAACTGACAGCAAAAAGGGAGGAGCATCTTGTCAGTAAATCAGTCAGCGAGCATTTAGTAAGAGCTTACTTAGTATGAGCCAGAAGGGTCCTGACCAATACCTTCATCTAAGCCAAGGGATTGCTGCCTAGCCCTGAGAAGATCATTCTGAGAAAACTCCTAGCTACCTTTTATATAGCACTTGAAGCTTTGCAAAGTATTTTCCTTGTATTGTTTCATATAGCCCTCACAACAACCCCCATTACGTCCATTTTATAGATGGGGAATTGAGGCTAAAACAGGTTAAGTGATTTGCTCAGGCTCACACAGGTCAGAAATGGATGGAGTTGGGATTTGAACTCAACTGGACACAGCTGGAAAGTATTTGAAATCAGATGTGACCTTGAGCAGGTCACCACGGTGTCCATAAGCCATTCGAAAGCTTCTGATATAGTACAGTGGTTGGGTACACTGATGCACAGATATCCTTTACCAGGTATATGCTTTACCAATGCAGTCCTGTTCTCTTGTTTTGCTTTGGGATTTCCTCACAATGCAGTGAATCTGAGAGTGTATTTATAAAAGGAAAAATGCCAGATAGGAAAACATTTGCTCTGTTATTTTCAGCCATTTTAGTGACCTGGGCTCCTTTCTAACCTCCGAGTAAAAGGCTTTTGGGGAAGAAGTGGCTTTCCCCTCCCCCCCCCCCCCCGACTACCAAAGCAACATATTCTAAGCTAGAAACCGGAGGGAGGCCTGGCCCTTGAGTGCTGTGAATGCTGTGAACTCTCTTCCTTGTGGCCTTACTCTGATTTAGCTGCCCTGCCCTGCTCCACTAAGAATTAGGGGAGGGGGGAGGATGAGACTGGGAGAATGGAGAGGATGAGAAATAGAAAAACCAAGGATTGTGGCTCCTCCTAATAACTAGACTGGGGGGGCATCACTATTTCCTGGCATAACCCCAGGTGAGGGGACCCAGAGGTGACCTGTTTCAGAACAAGCACATGGTGTAGGATAAAGACAGAAACAAGTAGAAAATAAGAGGAAATTTCATATTGTAGAGAGAATATTGGACTTGGAGCCAGAAAGACCGAGGCTTAAATCTCACTTAAGAAACTAGCTAAGTGGCCCTGGGCAAGTCACTGTTAGTCATTTTGGGCTTCAGTTTCCTTATCTGTTAAATGAGTGGGTTGGACTCCATGTTCTCTAAGGTCCTTTCCCTGGTCTGAATCTGTGATCCTACTGCCCCAGAACCTGAATTGTAAGAATCCCACAGTTATATTTTTTCCAAAATGACTTTTTAATCTGAATGCATTTTTATGATGAGTTTGTATACAGAGATGTAACAGCCTTAGTCATTTATTTCTAGTCATCAAAAAGTTGATTCATGTGACCTCATTTTTCAGCATTGTCAGAATGCTCCCATACCTGACCCTTTGAAGAAGGCAGCACTACTTTCAACTTACAAAAATAAAAGGCAAGGCAGAGAGTTCTGTGTGTTTCAGTTTAGTGGGCATCAGAGAGCTGTCTGCACAGAGAAGGATGGAGGCATTTTCGAGTTAGCCTTTACTATCCTAGAGAATATTTTTTTTTCCTTAAGGGAGAAAAATCAATAGAAAAGAAATAAAATTAACTTGGGGGAATTTTTTTTACTGTTATCCCCCTCTTCAGACTGTCAGGGCCAAACTAACAAAGAAACCATTCCAGACCGAAATACAAAACTTCTCTCAATGACATATTTGGGACAAAGGAAGCCAGAAACCTGGACCTCCTCAGTTCTGCTTGGTCTCAGCTTGATAGGAAAACAATGGGTGATCACTTGGCTACAAAAATGGGATAATGACAATTATTCCAAACAAATCTGTTTAGAAAGAGGTAAACTGAGGCTAATCTACCAAACCATATCGTTTGTCTAAACTTAGCTGAAAGCAGCCACAATATTAGACAGTGGGGAAAAGTGAAGTCTATAAAATACCATCATATAAATGAGACCATTGCTTGTTGCTGGTAAGTGAGGTAGCTAGGAAACAGACCAAAGTAGCAGGATTTGTGACCTCTCACTAGGCAATAAGCAATATGAGGTGACCTTAAGGCACTTAATAACATCTTAATCTTCATGACTCACATAGGTAAATGTGTATATACAGAAATTTCTTAAAGATTTCCTTTAAAAATATTCAAAAATCAGTTTATTTTCCTTTCTTTTGCCCTCTACATATTCTTGAAATCATAGGACCAAGGTTCACATCCCAGCAGCTAGGTGATGCAGCGGATAGAGAGCCAGGCCCAGAGTCAGGAAGACCTGAGTTCACATCCTGCCTCAGACACTTACCAGCTGTGTGACCTTGGGCAAGTCACTCAACCCTGTTTGCCTCAGTTTCCTCATCTCTAAAATGAGCTGGAGAAGGAAATGACTAATCACTCTAGTATCTTTGCCAAGAAAATCTCAAAGGGGGTCATGAAGAATCAGGCACGACTGAAAAGACTAAACAAAAACAACAACAAGGTTCAGATTCCCACCTTTGATGCTTACTGCTTTGGTCAATGCCCTAAACCACCTTTGTCCTCAGTTTTCTCATGTGTAAAAAGAGAAGGTTAGAATAGATGGTCTGTGGGGACCTAAGATCCTCTGATTAGAGTCTAGTTCACAAAGTTTGTTTTTTTTTTTTAATCAATAAGCAATAACTGGTTGAAAACCAGGTTGATAAAAATAACACTGATTTGTGCCTCCACATTTATGAATATAGCGGATCATAGGAAAAAAAGCCCCCAAAGAGGCTACAAACTCCCAAACTAGACTCTTTCCCATTTGAGTTAGTTTCCATTATTTGAAATATAACCATAAATACACAGTAACCTTAATGACGGTGTCTGGCATTGGGAATGTACTGCCTTGGAGAGTGAGTTTAAATTTTTCTCCAGAATAGTGACTTCCCAGGTCTGACCCCTCTGCTAATATAATTTTCAACTGTAATCTACCCCTCTCTCCTGGGCAAAGTCACTTCCTTCCTTCCCTCCAATTCTAGATCTTAAATGAAATGTCTTAGGAAACCGACTTAGAACAGAGATCAAATCACTAAAAGCAGGGCCAAGGATTCTAACTCAGTCCCATTTACCATTCAAGTCCATGCATACTACATTTGGGTCACTACCTACTTTAGTCGCCATCATCAAAGTAATTGAGCTACCATGTTTGTCCTTTGAAAAGGATGGTTAATAAGTACTTCCAGGAGTCAGAGATGGTGAATGGAAAGATTGATATTAAGTAAAAATGAAGGCCAGATGGACAAACAATTCCATTTTTAAGCATGAAATAGGATTTTTCCCACAAGAATTGAGGGGGTAGTATCATTTTGGGGGGAAGGTAGAGTTCAAGGGAAATGTCAACCTAGCTGATGTACCTTATATGGACAAATCATTTATTCCTTTAATTCGCTACGACCGTCAACAAAAACAAACAGTAATGGCAAACAGTAACGATCTTTGTTTTATTTTTGTTTTATTATTATTATTAGCAGACAACTAATGCACACCATAGTTTTTCTTCTTTAATCATGCCATTGCACGTAGAAAAAAGCATCAGAGGCTAGATGAAGAGCCAGGAGTAAGAATCAAAGTAATAAGTAGACCACACATTCAAGAGAAGAATGTGAATTAAAACAAAAGGCAGTATGTACAGTTCTAATGTTCTGTCTTAGTTGCTGCTCTGTCTGCTTCTCAGGTGACTGACATTGCTGGTATTGATTGAAGTTCTACACCCACATCTATCTAAAACCCCTAACCCTCCACCCCACCCCCAGTCCCATTCAATGAATGAAAGGAAATGAAAATAGAATTGATCTTCTTGTTCCCTGTTCTTATGGGAAGCCTTTCTCTGAGGGGAACTGGTCATTCTCTAAATGTCTGGGTTGTCCTTTTTTGTACAAAATCTCTTATTTCCCTCAGTAGTAGTATGGAAATTAAGAGAATGGTACAACCTGTCATGAGCACAAAAAAATAGAAAACCCACATCCATCCTAGTTTGTCTTGGATCAGAGATACTAAATACTGTCCCACGGCTGTGCCCATGCTAACAGTTCTATCCACAATGCCTGTAACTGTGGCCAAGGCCTCTCTGCTCCTTTTCATCTGCTCCTGGCAACCTAGATCATCGGGAATGGCAGAACCCATTACATCTGAGGGTCCACCAATGAAAAGCCCTGTAATTGACATCAGCAGTGCGGTGATAGCCTTGGTTTGGGGAGTATGGCTATATCTAACCAGGGACCCAATGGCCAGAAGCACACACACTGCTAACATAGATCTCTTCTGGACCACATTTGTGAGGAAGCCCTGAAATGTTCCACCTACAATTCCTTCAGCATCATACCAGACTGAAAGCTGGCTGACCTGAGATTCCCTCCACCCAAAGCTGCTGTTTAGATAAAATAGCAGCCAAAAGAGGAAGCAATAATTTACCAGCTCCATGTTGGCATAGCCCAGGAAATAAAGTAAAACTCCAAGGAGGCTAGGAGCCTCAGAGAAATCTGTTGCTTGAGGTAATATGTCATCTCCTTTCCCACCCACCTCATCAGTCTCATTATCTTCATAGTTCATTAGCAGACTGTCAAAGTCTTCTTCAAAACCATTTCTATCTTCTGTGTCTATGAGTCCAGGTTCTTTAGGTAATAGCCAAAGGGTAAAGAAGATGATTAACCCCGCAGCAAGCTGCATGGAGGCTGTTACCAAGAAGGTGTATTCATAGCCATGCTGCAGAAGCAAAGAGGCCAGACATGCTCCCAAGATGTTGCCCATAGAGGCACAGGCACTCCAGAGTCCAAACACAAAGCCCTGGCCAGTTAAGCCAAACCAGTTGTCCATGTTGGCCACAACACAGGGCCAGGCAGTGGATTCAAGCAAGCCGTTGAGCACCCACAGACAGATGTAAAACCATTTGTTGTAAAAGTGGGGAAAATTGGTTAGTGTGCCAAAGCAGAAGAACACTAGGGCTGAGGAGCACATGCCAATGGCCATGACCAGCTGCAGACTGATCCACTCTCCAATTATGTTATTGATGAAAATCCCCATCGCGTAGGAGAAGAGGAAAATGGTATCCAACGTCCCCCCAGGAAGGATGGCTTGCTTGGTATTCAAGAAAAAATAAGTACCATTGGGGGACACGTCGGAATAGAGAGGTGTACAGTGACTGGTGATGTATACTTTCACATCGCTGAAGGTCTTCCTCGAAGTATGATACAGGATGTAACTGGTGAAGGTGAGCAGGAACACCGTCACGTGGTGAGGACTGCACTGAGGAAACAAGGGCCCTACCGCTCTGAACAAATGTGGCCAAGCCATGTTCTAGGGCTGAGGTCTGAGCTGTGGGCAGGAGCTAGAGAGGAAATGGAATTTGAAACAGGATCTGGATACAGAACAGGAGTGGCGACCGGAACCGCACGGGGATGAACGGCGACTGACCGCTGGGTGCTGCTTGCTTCAAACAAATCAGACCTTACCTAGCAATCTAGAACTCCGTGAGCTGTCGTGTAGCAACGTGTGTCCAACAGAACCCGAGCAGCCGACGCCCCAGAACCTGGGAGCGACCGTCAGGCGCATGCGCAGTCAGGCCAGCAGGCGGGTACCCTCTAGCGGGGGTGCTCAGCACCATGGCCAGAGTCCCTGCAGCCTTAGTCAATTTCACAGAAGCTGGGCCCCACCAGAGCCAAAGCGCTTTTAGGAAGCAAATTGAAGCTTAGCCTTTGGTAACTGTGGCTCAGACCCTCATCTGAGAAACAGCACCTTTGAAGAGGTTCACCCCCCTCCCTTTGAGTGAGAGGCCCTTTTGGCAGTAGCCTTAAAATAAAGTACTACCTTAAAATAACTGGGAACTTGGCTAGCCCGCCTGACATATCTCTTGGCAACATCTACCCATGACCGGTGCAGGAGATTGCTTTCTTTGAGCAGTTGTAGATACTGCAGGAAGAAATAGTTATTCAACCAAGTAACGTTTCTCCAGGGAGTCAAATTTTGTTGTAAGATTCTACATTAGAGTTATTTCTCAGTCCAGGGGGAAATCAGCATCAACCCTTTGCTGGATAGTAACTAACACCCTTTCCCCAAATCCTATTTGTTTAGACATGTCCCCATCTACATCTTTAATCTTCAAAATGGATGCAGTTTTAACTGACATTAGATTAAAATGGAATTGAAGAGGTATTTTCATGAAATTACCAGTAAATCTGAGGGCTTAGTAGGGAGAGGCCACAAAGTTTGGTTGTTTGCTTTTTATCTCCTGCATTTTCTCATTCCTGATACTATATTTTTAGTACTTTTGGGGGGAATCAATGCTCTCTCAGAAGTATGATAAGGAAGCTGAGATTACAGAGCCTCTCATAGTGCTTTTCTTTGTACCTTCAGAAACCATGCCATTTAAAATGTAGTATAATAGAAACTTGTGTCTTTGAAAAGAAATAACAAGCCACAAGTGCAGGAAATTAAAATCCCTCATATTGTCTAGATAGAACTGTCTATCAGCAAACATTTAGGAATAATGAATGACCAGAAGCAGCCTTGGCAGCTAACCTTAAATTTACCTGTTATGTGGTATAAATTGATATAATCCCTTCTGTACATAAATGAGGAAGGGTTGTGTTGATTGAGAAAAAAAGAAGAAAGCCTTCTTTCATGAATTTAATATCGCCTTTCGAAGAAAAACATCAAACATTTATCAGCCCATAAAGTCCATAGAGAATGCTTTCCAATTCCTGTGGCTTTGGGCATAAAGAAGTTACAAGTTGGAGATGAAGTTACTCAAATTCTCTTTTAAGAAATAAACAAATACACCTACTCTCCATTTGCAAATGTATGGTGTCAGTTATGAGATTCATATATTTCCACAGGAGGTGCGTCTAATAGACAGATTCACAGTCTAAACGTGCCACTTTTCAGATACGGCCTGTTGCTGTTCTATACTAAAACCAGCTTTTGACTAGGTCTTATGTCAAACAATGCATCCATCAGAATATAAGTGACAGATCTAAAGCCAAGAATTCTCCAGATGAGAGTCTTCAAGCCCAATTTCCCAATATAATTCTTTCTGTCAAGGAGTCTTGTATACTTTTGAAGAAGAGACAAAGATAACTTTATCTAGAAACTGGGCTCGAAAAAAATTATTTGAGATACTGTTTTGTTTCCCCCAATCAAATCTCAAAGGACAATGACATTTAATTTCAGTGAAAGAAGTTTCAACTCTATCTGACCCAATAAGAATTAATTAAATATCTACTATATTTAAGGCATTGAGGCATTGGGGATTTGATTGGGGACTGGAGCTGTGACATAATTGGCAGAGGGAACACTAACATGAGGAAATTTCCTCTCCCAATGCAGGTCAGCGTCCTCTTTGTTACTTACAGTCTTGAGAGTTGATGAAAGTAGAAAGAGGCTCCGAGAGACATAGCCAATATGTGTCAGAGGGGACTTCAACTCAGTTGTCCCTGGCTTTAAGGCTGGCTCTCTAGTCACTGAAGTCATGTTGTGTTTCATGCTGGGGTTCAAGAGACAGAAATGAATGACCTCTTCTTCAAGGAACTCGCCTTCTCCTGGAGGAGATACAGCATAATGATACAAAACGATAATCTGAAGAGGCAGAAAACAGAGATAACTTAGCTCCCTAAGCATCCTTGAGCTGATGAATGTGAAAGTACTTTGGAAATGATGAAACTCAATTCAAATCTAAGATTCCGATAACAAATACTACAACATGTGTCCTAGAAACTCAGCTGTGTGTTTACATGGATTGGAGTCAATCTTGAATGGAGAGGGCCCAACAAGTCACTTTCTTTGACTCCTGTTTCACCGTGGGCTTCTGCTGGGACCATTGGCATGTGGCTCAGAGCTGAACTGAGTGTAAGGATAGAGAAGATCCATGCCTGCTCCTTTATAACCTGGCTCTGTCTCTTAGTGTGCCTCAGCTCCAGCTCCTGCATGGCTCAAGAAATCAACATAGCTCAAGAGCTCCACCTCTTCTCTTCAGGAAATAAGCTCTAAGATCTTGTAATCACATGGAAAACGAATTCTGTAATGGTGGAGAGCAAGGTCTGGGAAATCTTATCACGAGCAAGTAGCATAAGAGTCAGCATAGTGTAATGGATAGGACACTGGGCATGGAATCAGGAAGACTTGGGTTCCAATCCTGCCTCAGGCATCTAGTTATGTAACCCTGGGCAAGTCACTTATCCTTTGTGTGCCTCAGTTTTCTCCTTTTGAAGATGAAGGTCTTGGACACAAATGTTCCTTCTAGTTCTAAATCTATGAGCTCATGATCCTCCAACTATATGATAATGACCCAGAGTGTCCCTTACAGTTCTCAGTAAGGTGGTTTACTTGGAGACCTCTTGCCAAGTCTTATTCTTGCACCTGAAAGAGGACAGTAGTAGTCACCTCATAGCACCCCCTCTGTATTTCCCTTCTCTTTGTTGCCTTTTTTGCTTCTCCCAGATATCAGGTCCCTAATATCTTAAGCTAGCCAGGATAATTAACTAGAGAATCTTACAAAATTTTGGACCCATCTCCTGGTTACACAAAGTGGTCAAAATGTCAGTGCAAAAAACTGGAATCAAATTAGGCGTCCACTTATTGAGGAATGGCGAAACAAATTGCAGAACATTCATGTAATGAAATATTACTGCACTCTGGGAAATGATGAATATCATAAATTCAGAAAAGCATGGAAAGACTTATGTGAACTAATGTAAAGTGAAGTAAGTAGAACCAAGAAAGCGATATATGCAATGACAACAACGTGAATAGTTATAAAAAAAAAATGCCACAAAACAACTGAAACTGGATACTCTGAAATTACACAGAACAATTTTGGCTAAAAAGGAGAGAGAGAAGAAGATACAGCCCCCTACTCCTTTTCAGGGATGGGGGGAGGGTGGTCCATGGATGTGGAACATTGTATATTATGTCTGATTTTTTTCAATCTGTTATTCTGTTCTGCTGAATTGTTTTCTATTACAAACAAAATATATAAGTAAAAATCTATTTAAAAAATAATTTCCTGGGTCCTTCTCTCTTAATTGTCAGTGCTCTCTTCTAACCAATATCTTTTCTCCTTTCCTCACTGTTACCAAGCACACCCATCACCAAGTATATTGGGGCAGAAAATTTATTTTCCGGAAGTTATCCAGATGTGGGAAGGAGAAAACATCCTAGACCTAGTTATATCTATATTGGCTTTTATGTGAGAATGTAATTTTTCACACAGAGCCTCAATGGTTATACTAACAAAAATTCCTGTTTTTAAAAGGAGTCTTCTCTTTTCTTATCATATGAAATCAGAAAAAATGTTAGACCCATATTTGAAAAGCTGATAAGAAGATGAGTACCATCATTCCATTCTATCTTGTGGTAGAATTCTGAGCAAGTGCCTCAGTGGACATTCTGTGGGACTGGGAGTCAGAAAGATCTGAATTCAAAGCCTGCCTCAGACACTAGCTGGTTGTGTTAGCTTTGGCAAATCATCCAACCTCTCAGACTTAGTCAATTTCTTCATTTGTAGAATGATGATAAGAATAGTATCTACCTCACAGGGTGGTTGTGAGTATTAACTGTGATAATATATGTAAAGTGCTATATAATCTGAGTTGTTGGGTTCAATTCTGGGTGCCACATTTTAGGAAGGATATTTTGGAATGTCTAGAAGAGAGTGAACAGGATGGTGAGGGTCCTAGGGAACATGCCAAATGAGGATCAATTAAAGGAAATGGAAATATTTAAGTATTAAAAGGAAATATTTAGACTGAGGAAAAGAACAGGGAAGGTGTCCATCATAGTGGTATCCAAGCACTAGAAGGGCAATAATGGAAGAGAGATTAGAAATACTAGATTTGACAGCAGAAATAGAAGAAATCTATGGACTCAGCAGAGATTTAGCCTTGACCTAAGGGAGAATTTCCTAACTATCCCAAAGTGGAATGAGTTACCTCAGGAGAAACTGGGTTCCTTTCCCTTGAGATCTTCAGACAAGGACTGTATGATGCCTTGCTGCATGGAGGTGTTGTGCTCTGGTAGATACATCTAGTATTTCTACCAAGCTCCTGCCAGATTTGTTTCCAGCCACAGTGAATGTGTTAAGTGAAAAACTATTTTCTGAAAAAGTTGGCTTGTGATGATCTGAGGAGTGATGTATGTTTCTGGAGAGTCTTTTTCCATCTGTTCTGCATCTGCATTGCCTTGGCTCCACTTGGGTCCCATTGGTCACATGGTAGGTTCATTTGTTATAATGCAGGCTCAATCGGAAGGAGCTTCTATGAGCCAATTTCTTCAGAAATTTTGCAATCCTGATGAAAATT